TTTTCGTATTTAGCTTCGTTTAATAAGGAAGCTTTGTCAAGTTTTTCTTTCACTTATTTGACTAATTTATAAGAATTACGTTCTTTCTACTGTATTTAACTATTCTACTTAAGTATAAACCGGTCCGTTATCAATTCTTCAGAGTTGATTTCCATGACTGCGCCAGATATATTTTGGCGGGTGTCCCAAATTTAAAAACATATTTTACTAGCGTTAAGACGCCGTTTCCTGATTAAATGAATTACATTTCTGCATACAAAAAGTTCTTACAAGCTATTTTATTTACTATTTAAACTAAGTTAGAAAAACGGTTTACTTATTGTACAATTGAAATTATTGGCAATCTAAGAGTGTCGTTGCACTTATTATTACTTCTTAATTGAGAAATTCCTTATTGTAGTGCAATACGATATTTTATATTCTGTTGGAGTGGAATGGCCAGGTGACGTAATTCGCGTTCTACCATACCAAACTAACCTCTTCATGCTACTTGTTTTTCTCATTTAGCAATCAAACATGAAAATTGTACGTGTCGATTTGCCCGCACCTGCCTCACCAAAGACCTAGGCTTCGACGGCCCCATCGTCAGGTCCATACCAGGCAGAAAAGCCAAAAATGTTGGAGTGTAGTTATAATTTATTCCTTCAGATCTTCCAAGCCCGTGTGTCCTTCTAAACACAACGGTTTCTTGTAGCTTGAAATTGAAATTCCTGTGTATCTCTAAACACCACGGTTGATTTTAATTATATAGTATTATATCTCGTATTTTGAATTCTCGCACGGAACCACTAATCTATATATAACACTTCTTATTAACAGCTCTACAGTTTTGTTTTTTCAGCACGCACTAATATATTTATCCTATATATATTTAAACCACAAATATTTGAATTCTCTATAGAGAGATTATTAAATATATTCTTATTTATTTACCTGCAGTGCAATTCTGTAACTTTTATCGACACGATTTGTCGGATCGCAAAGTTGCGAATTTTGTCGCTTGCGCTAACGATTATGTGATTCCTTATCTCAGTTGTTACGATAATCGACATAGCATATATCCATTTTATTAAAATGTAGGAAAGGTGGCACCACAGCTTAACGAAACGTCAAAATGTCACAAAAAGGAATGACAAAAACTTATAAATTCGTTATTCCAAATTAGTATGTACATATTTTTACGCTGGCTTTTGAATATATGTTTGAAATATGTAAGTAAAATGAAACGTTTATTAGTTTTTGTATTTTTATACATGCCTTATTGTGTGTATAAATGTAGAATGGCTACGACAAAAAGAAACCGAGCTACGATGGAGCAGCTAATTCGAATGATGGATTTTTTCGGAGAAACGCCGGGTTTGGCAGGGTCTCAGTTCCAGAAGCTCCATGGAAAATCAGACTGCGATAGGAAGTGGAGCGAATTAGCTAGTACGCTGAATTGCCTTGGTGGTGCTGTGAAAAGCGTCGAACAATGGCACACGGTATGTAAATATTTTGAAGCAATTTGGCAGTATGTTAAAATTATATTTTACAAATAGGTATGGAGGGATCTGAAAAGCCGTACCAGCATCAAGGTCCGAGACCGGAAAAGAAAGAGGGCAATGACAGGAAACAATCCAATTAATGAGGAGCCACTCACCGAATTGGAGAGACGAGTCATTGCCCTTATAGGTAATGACTATGTCCAGGGCCACGAAAACGTTCCTGAAACGATGCCTATAGAGGAGGTAATGAAAAATTAACAGTTTGGTATAAATATAAATGACTGAAATTCTCCTCAATATTAGGAACTGCAACTTCGATTAGAGGAGGGTGAAGAGAGCATAGTTATCAAGATGCCTTCATTTTCAAATGGGGTCGATTTGGTAATGCATACTGCGACTCAAGCCTCAAAAACTCCACGTAGAGGCAGTAGGAGAAGACGTGTGGAGGATGTGAGCGATACCCGAAACGCATTTTTAGAATTTGCGCAAACACAAGCAAATGCTTTAAAAGTAAGCATTTTTGCATTTGGAACACATCTAGAATATGTTTTCATGTCGTTTCGTTTTTTTCGAAAAGATGTTAGCAGAGTCGAGTGCAGCATCACCCGACGCAATTAGCCGTATATAAATATATTATATTATGAAGTTTAAAGTTTTTTTTTTTAGATTAGAGTTAATTTAAACATAGTACAAGAAGTTCTTGTTTTTATTTATATTATTCATTTAAGTTTTAATTTGAAAAAAAAAAAATAGGTTTTGGAGAGTATTTCTTTATACTTGAGTTAAAATCTGACTTCATATTAGATATACTATGATCAATTTCTCTTTACATACGTGTACATTAATTAAAGAAGTAATGCAGTTATGAACATGAGAGATTCTCCTTTAAGAAACTTGAATGTGATGATATGTGGTATTTAAACCCATATAAAAATACTTATCTGTGATTATATACTGAGATTTGTAATGAATTATGCATTTAAATTAAGTTGTATGTTGAGGATGGTGCCTCATGAATGAAATTGACGGTATTTGTTCTATTTTTTAGGAACTCTTGCTCAAGCTCATATATTTGGTCACCTAATCGAATGTTATGTAACACTGAGCACGCATTGACTATTCTACCAGTGAATCCAGCATCGTACAAAAGAGCTCTTTGTTGAGATAGGCATCGCCAAGTTTCTTTGAGAACGCCAAAAAAGTCGCTCGACTGGGTTTCGTGCTTTACTCAATGCCTCATTGTAGCGGAATTTGGGACTTCCTTGAGGTTGGTTTGGAAGAGGAGTCATTAACCACGGCTCTAATGGATATCCAGAGTCACCTGAAAATTTATTTTTTTCATAATTATTTTTAATATATATATATTTAATATATCGAATCGAAAACATATTGTGGTTTCCACTTTCAAAACTGCCCTGCATTACTCTTCGCTCTGTAGAGGAGCTCCAAATGAAAGAATCGTACCGCGCTCCTGGGTACTTAGCATTGACCGCCAAAATCTTGAGGTAAGGATCACATATCTATGTGAAAATATAATGAACTTTGTTACTACAATAGTAATTGGAAACAAATTTACTCTCACCATTTGCACATTGATTGAATGGTATCCATGGTGGTTTACATAAGCTTCTTCATGTGTTTTGGGACTCATGATTGAAACATGAGTGCAATCGATAGCTTCAATAGTGCCTCCAACAAATGGTGACGATGATGAAACAAAAATTTCCTTTCCAGCTTGCCGCTCTATTTGCGTCATTGGAAACCTAACCTTCGCAGGAAACATCGAACGGTTGATTGCGTCTGTTACGCGATGAATGCAACGGCTTACTGACGACTGACTCATGGATATCCCCCATTGCTCTCCGACGGGACGTTGATAGCATCCAGTTGCAAAAAATCGCAAGGCGGTTAGAACCTTTAAACATTTTAATAATACTGTTAAGGCTAAAAAAATATTGAAAAAATATATTATTACATGTTTCTCCGTAGGTACATTGCTGAGCA